CGTTCATTAGCGTCTAAGCAGCGTACCCTATTTGTTATCTCGCTGAGAAAAAACACCGACGTCGTTCCTTCGCACAAACAACTAGATACAAAGAGGCAAAATAACGGGAAAATGAAAACGCGGCGAACACTGAAGTTGTTTGAGTTAATCATGAAAGCCTGACGCTAACCGACTCGCCGGCTCTGCTTTTTGTTTTGTTTGCTTAAGGGATAAATGTATGATAACCCGGAGATATGTTTTAAATGTAAGCTAGCTTGTTCAAGTAATTTTACTTGGCAAAAGTGATACTCTTATATATATTTAGCAAATCGAAGAGATATAAAAGATGGCAGAAGTAGCCATGATTACAATAAGCGTTGTTTAAAGTGAAGACTGCGTTTAATAAATATTTTTGTATATTTTAGTTTATGAACGTAAAGTCGATAATATAATAATAATAATAATAAAAATGCAGAAGGCGGTGCTCCTCGATACCGCCCGCATCGTCCGCCGGTTTCTTTCCCTTTCCCCCTAACCCTCGGCCGTCTGGTCTCCCCTGCCGAGGGCTTCCATCTGGTTGGGTTTTTATTTATTTATGTATTTTTTATGCATTTATTTTATTTTGTTGATATTTATGTATGTTTATCATTTTCATTTACAATTATATATTTATACAGCCCAACCAGATGAGTAAACTATATAGATGCCCCAAATAATAATAATAATTCCTTTATTTCAGACCTTGATCCATAATTTGTTAGTAATACATTATACACCTTAAATACTAATGTTAGTTTCTAAAATATGTAAAATTACTTTTTAATATACTATTCCAGTGTCTTAGCATATGCCCGTCACATCGTTCGGCGAACATGTTCAGAATACTGTTGCGGCTGCCACGCATTCTAATCAACAGGGAGTATACTCGTTTACGCATTATTGCAAAGAAGTCATCTGTTCTTGCTTCTGCGAACATACCTGATGCGCTACAAAAGCGAGGCAACCCCAACAGGGCTCTGAAAATGTTATTATATAGAACACGAAGGTCACTGTAAGCGCGCTTTGTATATGTTGTCCATAAGCTGCATACGTAAAAAGATTGGCAGTAGGTCTTAAAAAGTGCAATCTTGACTTCGTTGCTACACCGTGCAAACCTACGAATCAACATATTTCCACGGATCGACAGTGCCCTTCGCTCCCTCTCGATGTCCATATCATCTTTACAATTTTCAGTAATGTAGTGGCCTAAATATTTAAACTGTTTTACTTGTACCATTAAGTACAATAGGAGGCACATACTTCGGACACTTATTTCCAGCTTTAAAAACCATAAACTGGCTTTTCTTAGCATTGTATACTAAACCATGTCTAACAGCATAATTCTCGCAAACACGTAACAATTTTCTAAGAGCACTGATAGACGGAGCAAGCAACACCATATCATCTGCATACCTTAAATTGTTTAAACATACTCCATCTACATAGCATCCGATATACATGCTGCTTAACTCACCAATTAAGTTATTAATGTACAGGCTGAAAAGGTTTGGTGAACTTAAACTCCCCTGTCTCACTCCATATTCTAGCCCGTACGGATGAGAAAACTCGTCTGCCCACTTAACACTATTTATTTGATTGATGTACCAATACTCAAACATCGCGATAAGTTCAACAGGCATCTCGGTTTTCCTCAACTTACTCCACAATATTTCATAGGACACCATATCGAAGGCTTTTGACAGGTCTAGAAAACAAGCATACACAGGTGTTTTTCTGTCCGTATAGTACTCGATGGTTCGCTTGAGGGACAAAATGGCACTCTCTGTTGAAAGACGAGGTGTTTTTAGCATCTTCTTGAATAATATGTGACAAGTTTTTTTGCCCAAGAGTCTTTCCTATTTTTACTGTGCTGTTTTTACTGACGTGTTCCTGTATTGTGGTTATAGAGAGCCAGTATAATTACATGCTGTGACGCATTCTAAGTCCTCACAGGTTAAACACATCGGTAGCCTTCTTTGTTTGAAGTTGATAAGATACTGGTGTTAGTAGATTGCAAGTAGCCACTTACCATCAGGTGGCCTGTAAGTCCCTTTGTTACTTCAGTTTTTTAAAGAAAAGATCAAGGTTGGATAAGTGGCACACTTAAAAATATAAATACTTCCGTCCAAAAGGAGAGTTGTCACAAGCAGATGATGATAATGTCGTAAGGTCAGACAGTAAACAAGCGTGTTTTCTTTTTGACTTTTGATTAAATAAATTTAAATAGATTATAGACATAATCCCACCTGAAGTGGCAATTGGCCGGGCCAAGTAGCTCGAATAACCGACGACTGATGAGGAAGAAAGGTTCTCGAGTAGCAGCCACTTACCAGTTAGAGAAGTAGGGTGACTCCACACTAGATGGAGTGAAGTCATGGTAAGAACATCCTTCATGTCCTTCCTTCCTGGATGGAAGTCGATGTTTGCTGGTAGGTCAGGACCGTGCTTTGGTGGCATTACATGGATGAGTCCTATGTTTAACAGTGGACTTGTGATGGGTTGTAATAGTGATGACGACGATGAAGTGGATTACATTATCTATGAATGGATACATTGTAATTCTTAAAACATCGTTAAGCGTATTATATTCCCCGTCTATAAATGTACTAAATTGATATTTCAACATTTACAACATTATAAAATCTTCCGTATAATCTCAATTAAATCGGAGTTACATTATTCGCTTTCTGGCATTCGACACGCTCGACGTGAATTATTCGTTACAAGTTTTATTTCTACCACTTTTTGTGGTTTTCACATCGTAGTGCGTAAAAGGTAGACACCAATATAAGTCAGTTCAGAGCACAGCCAGTCTCAGTAACACACATTTTAAGCCACTTCTTTATAATTAAAATCGAAATTCAAATGTGTAAAATTGCACAATTACTTAATGCATCAGAATACATATTGTATAATGTTTATACAATATGTATTCTGATATTGGATTGTTTTTTTTTTGTTTTGGAACAAGGCAAAATGAATGCTGTTAGGAATGTCAACTTTTCTCAGTAAAATATAGTAGGTACACTTCCTTCATGAAAATACGTTTTTAAACATTATACGACGATTTTATACAGTTAATTAAATAGTGTGAAAGTGCATTGTTTCTTTATTTTCAGTATACCTACTTTATATAATATACAATATTTTATTACATACAATATTTAAAACTATAATAAGAAAACAACTAAAACTAGTAACTTAATTATTATACAGTCGTATAATAATTCCATCACAAGTCCACTGTTAAACATAGGACTCATCCATGTAATGCCACCAAAGCACGGTCCTGACCTACCAGCAAACATCGACTTCCATCCAGGAAGGAAGGACATGAAGGATGCTCTTACCAGGACTGCTTGCGTTTCCCCGCTGGATGGCTATACTTAGTCATTGAGCGAGAAAAGAACCAGCCCTCTTATCACCAGCAGCAACGACCAGTGGCGGATAGAGTTCCTTTAAGAACTTCGCCGCATGTGGACCCCACGGACCGATAGTCATCTTTCAGAGATTCTTATTTGCGCCGCTTATTCAGTTCAGCTGCTTCTGATGCCGCCCCGGCTCTAAACGTGGTCCCCCTGGGATGAATAGCCGACGAAGTGTCTACGTAAGTAGCATCCCACACTAGGGCTTTACCTCTCTCCCAAGGGACCAATGTCATACCGTCGGGTCTCCTGCCATCGTCTCCAATTATTCCATAAGGCTCTGCTGAACACCGACGCCAGAATCGACAATATGGTTTTCGTAAAACAAGTCAGTATTTTGACTGTATCATTGCCAAACTTAATAATTAATTTCGGGAGTATTGTTAGCCACTTGTTTTAGCAGGGTCAACCTTGGGTCAACCTTCACAAAAACATTTGCATCAGAGTTTGTTCAAAATGTACACACTGAATGTACCGCCGCCTCACATCCACCTCTAGTGCCAATGCCTAGTTGAGTAGGCTGAAATTTTGTCTTAAGGTTAGAGATTATGTGTCTGCAAACTAATTTTGAAAGTAAGCGTCGAAATGTAGAACCAACGGCAATAGGCCAGATACCGTTATATTACAATAAAAAGTTTACTGAAATTAAATAAAGTATGTGTAATGCTGTTAAAACATGGTTAATAACCCTCTAAACCCTGTACAGTTGTCTAAAATTGTATTGTAAAGAAAACTAGTTAATTAGTTTTTCATAACAAGTTTATTTTTTTCTATGCCTTTGTAATAAAAGCAATTTATATTTTCACAGTTACTTAGCAGATGTTTAGTCCTAGTCTCTTCATTATAATAATGCAAATTATGCGCATCTTGAAACGGAGCTCTCGTAAGCCCGTTTGTCTCGAGCAGACATAATTTTAATAAGGTACACATTTTATACATTTGTTTTAATAATGTTTACATCGCAGTGTAGCGGTTATTTCTCTAATCTACATGATGCGACTTGCAGACTCAAAATAGCGTACATACACAAACTTGAACACATAAGTGACTAGAAGTTTTGAAGTGTTGGGTCTTGTTTCGTTTTAATTAAAATATTCCGAAGGCGTAAGTAGCGTATAAAAGTAAGCGATCGTTTAGTGGTGGTGTAAGAAAATCCACTACCGCACATCAGAGATCAGACAGAGCGAAGCTAGGAGGTGGGCAGCAGCAGCCTGCCAAGCTTGGCAATTACGGCAAACATCCTCCTTATGAGGCAATCTATGAAAAAGCCTTTGTTCACAGGTTAACATAATTTCAATACGAAAATAATATTTTAATTTTCGTTTATCGCCAAACACATGACAAATTGTGACAAAAACGAAAATCACTGCGGTACTTCATTTGTCGAAAACGATGTCGTTTTTAACGGGTTTCTCGCTTTTACTTTCAGTTTTTGTGTCTAAAAATGGCTCTACCAAATTCATAATATTTCAGGTCTTTTAACCTAACCTAGTAGTTGTAGTATCCTATTTTTTTGTCCAAAAGTTCTAATATCTAATATGCATCTTTTGTGTGCAGTGCCAGAGATAGGCGGCCTTGGCCGTCGTACTGGATGTTCCAGCGCGTTCTCTGCACCTTCGCCGTCTGCTCATCATGATCCAGGTATTTCAGATTAATTCCTTTTACTTATATTTAACTGTACTTAAGTAAGTCTTTATTTTAAATATTAGAGACAAGGAATCCATAATCATTTTATAACTTCATACGAGAAATAAGTCACCATTAAAATTATATTTTGTTCTATGGAAATGTTTATTAATATGAAAAAAAAAATGTTTTTGTCAATATAATAGTTTTTCAAATATACAAAGGTATATATTATATATAATATACCTAGTTCATACGTGGTTCTAACATGTATTAACTAGGTAAAGGTACCTAGTTAATACGTGGTAGAGCCACGCCGCAGCTATGTTATGGTTGAAGGACGAATGAGTCACCTCGAACGGTGAAGGACCACGCCCAAGCAGCATGCAAGCTGTACACGAGCTGTATTGAATTTCGTTTTTATACTAGAAGCTGTATTTTCTGGCTCTATAAGCGCTTATACAGTTCTTATAAGTAAAACGACGGTGACGGTGATATTTGGTGAATTGAAAGTGCAAAATTAGATTTACGGTAAACTTGTATATGTTTTATAACAAAAAATTGCCGCGCCAGAAAAATAACCAAGTAATACGTATAAGGATATAATACTAAATACGGTAATGAAATATCAGTTGTATAGGTTAGAATAAAAAATATATATTAAATTAATGGATATGAAGGGACATTGAGGCACAGAGATCGTGAGTCAAACTGAAAATAAAGGTATAGGCTCAAACTGATGTCTAATATTCCTAAAATTATATTTTAAATTTTGTTTTTATGGCCGACATGGCCGACCGAAAGCGAAACGAAGAGATTCGCAATATGGCAGGTTTGAAAGATGACCTTATCACAAAAATTGATAAGGGCGTGCTTCGGTGGTTTGGGCACGTTGAGCGAATGAGTGAAGACCGAATGGTGAAGAAAATATATAGGGCGAAAGTTAATATTAAAAGGTGTCGAGGTAGACCGAGACTAACTTTCGAGGACCATGTGAGCAAATTGCTCGAAGAGGGTAGGGTCAAGAGTACTCGGATACCTAGACGTGCATGTATGAAGAAGATAATGAATCTGAAAGAAGCGAAAGAGGTATGTAAGGATCGTGACACTTGGCGATCTGTTCTCTCTGGCTACCCGTCAGGGATTGTGCGTGAAGATAAGTAAGTAAGTAAATTTTGTTTTTATGAGTCCTAAAATGGCGGTAATTTGCTAAACATCCTAAACGGTGATTCGAGGATTTCTATATAGAATAGTAGGATTCTATCATGCAGCCATTGGTTTTTCATTAGTTGTATAATAGAATATTTTTATTACTTACGCTGTACAGCAGTTTTTATTTCGACATAACATATAAATTCCCTTTAGAGATGTGTATAAAAGATGAAAAAAATTTGTCTTTGGAACAGTGTTGGATAACTTTTATTTCGATTTGACACGATCTTCTAACTGCACCAAATCTTTATCTTTTTTTTTTCATATGTTCACTAGCACAATATAAACACGCAACGCATGCAATATGGCGATATTCTATCACTTAATTATGCAGATTTAAATTGTATCTAATTTTGTAGTTTTATATCACCCTCATAGACAAAAGTCATAAAACTACTGTATTTACAAGAGTGTACAATTACCACAAAAAGGAGTTTTAGAAGGGAGTTTGTATACACCATTTTTCAGAAATAATATTTGAGTGATACTATAATAACATTTAAAACTGTATAAGCAAGTGACAGCATGCGAAAATCAGCTTCTATACAGCTTTAATGATAAGATCAGATTCAAGAGTTACAAAATATTAAAGTTGTTTACTAGTTTTCATATTCTGATTAAGAACCCTAAGCTTATTTAGATGCTATAATACAGACTTTATACAACTTGTACTCATAAACCACTCTTATAAGGACTCTTTTCAACACTCTTATACGCGTTTAAAAGAACTCTAGTTCTATGTGTTCATAACGCTTGTGCTGCTTGAGCGCTCTCACTGAATACCATCGTGAAACAGCAGATTAATGCTCCTGTGTTTCGTATATTAAGTGTAGAGAATCGGAGACGCTTTTTACTGGAAACGAAGTATTTAGTCTTAGTCGACGAGTATGTAGGTCGACGGAAAAGGATGACGTTTAGCATTAGAGGAAAAGATGTCATATAATATCATATATTAGAATGCCGTTGGCATTAAGTTTGCCTATGTTCCTTAGTTCAGGAACAATTAAGATTAAATAAACAATCATAAGTGAACTGATAAATGACTTATCTGTAAAATACTACGTAACAAAAATTCAAACACAAATATATTTGCTTAGAAAATGGAAATTGGGGCTCACAAAGTCATTTGAAAGTTTCTTTTGATGTGCTTGGCGGAAAAAAATGATTCCGGGTTTACGTGCCTTCTTAGTTTGGAAAGATGAGGCGTCATTTATCTTTTTGTCGACTAATCTCTTTTCTTTTGTTGCTTGACCTGGAAAGTGTTTGTAATTTGTGTAAAGAATACAATATAGAGTTTCAATGTTCGACTTTTTTGTTGAAAGTATTATATAAAGAAGATTGATTGATTAATAGAAAGCTTACTTTCCTCTGTTGGATAGAGGCCTTCTCAAACCTTCTTCTGTGCGTGTTTGCTGACTTCCTCGGAACTAATCAAACAGAATAAATAACACGTTTTATCCTTTACGAGACAGCTAAATACAGGCTCGCTCAGGGGTTGTCACGACGGACGTTACTGCGCGACATGCATCCATGTATTTGCTGCTTGTCTCATCGTTTCGTTTCTATATCTAGTGAGTTCTTGAGCACCCTGCACATTTCGGCATGAGACTACATTTCTTCGCCGACCATTAGTTCATCGAGCTACATGGCAAAAACATTATCATTACATTTACATTATAAGCATTTTATCCGCACTGAGTATAAATGTGTCGGTTGCTCTGATTCCTGATAAACTTAAAATGCTGGTGTTAATACTTACGAGTGTTTCACGATAGTAGTCGAAAGGCAAATTCGAACCCACGACCTTTTGAGTTAGCAGTCCTCCACTGTAAGCTACTGTCGCTTAAATTTTACTGCCATAAACTACTAATTCTGGATATACAAAGCTAAACAGCGAGTTCCCTGTTTCGTATTATAGCGAACTAGCCGCGAAATCGTGAACTCCGTTGTCGCTCATTCAAGTAATTAATTCCTTTGCCAGGCTGTTTGAACAAATCTGCGGCAACTTGAACATAATAAATGTTTCAAGTTTTAAACTTTTATTATTTAATATAATATTATTTTTATTACTTAATACTGTTTCATTTGAATACTTTATTTGAATTTTTATTGTTATAGAAATTTTTTGTAACTTAATTCTAATTTATTTTTTCATTTATTAATTACTGCCAATCAAAGTCCACTGCTGAACATAGACAACCTCCACACATTTCCACAAAAGGGGCTTTTACCGTAGCAGGTTTGGCAGGCGAATTGGCAACCGCAGTTTTTTTTATTATTTTCAGTTGTTATCAAAAATATTTTTTTATGCTCACGCGCATGTTTTAGTACCTACTGTTACCTCTTACGACACAATGGGATGATATGGGGTAGTGGATATTCTTATATTCGTATGTCATCACAGCAGTTGTAATTCGAGTTAAATTTAGGTGCTAGCGCTTTCAAAAACAATGTTTTTCTTATTTAAGTAGTCAGTACAAATACAAGCTGTGGTTAGTGTCAGTGTGCTACAGTAGCCAATTTGGCAGGTATTATATTGTATATTATAAAAATAAACAACAGAAGAATATAATCATTGTCTTTTTGACTTTTTATTTTTATATTACGCATTCGGTTTTAGCTCCTCAGCAAAGTACTTACATAAGTACTTACTTAGTTACTTAAGTAGTAATTTCGAAAGTTGTGTGGAGTTCAAGACACGAAGTCAATTGAAGTAAATCCAGCTCTTTAAATAAATATCGTATAGAAAATTTAACGCCCGAGTGAGCAAACGAGAGTTTTATTTGCTACATGAGACGGGCAAATAACAGATAATAAATTCCCTATTTACTTTTTGTTCTCATGTAAGAGACGTCGCCGTTATAATATGGTGACGGCGTTAAGACGACGGCTGGGCATTCACTTGCATAAACAAGTCCCTTGCCGAACACATTAAGAACCAATTCAAAGAGTTTCTTACGTCTTAAAACTTAAAACTGAGACTTCACTATGCTAGGCGTCGAGAAGTTGTTTCGTCTCTGGCGGACTATGAATTAACTGCGTTACCTTCCACTTGAGAGTTTCTTCGCGGCATTTGCACTCACGTTAATGTTCTAAGAAAACTTTTTGTAAAGCTTTTTCTTAATTTGCAACATTTAGCGCGTAATTTTATTACATTTCATTTTTTAACAATTCTACGTATTGATTATTATTGATTATTTTATACTTTTTTGTATTTTTATGTTCACACGTAAATATTCTAAGAAAACTTTGAAAAGCTTTTTCTTAATTTACAACATTTAGCGCGTTTTTATCTATTCTACGTATCTTAGTATGTGTCGTTATTGATTATTTTATACTTTTTTATACTCTTTTATGTTTCTCTATAGATATAGGATCATCATCATAAACATCATTACAGTCCATGACAAGTCCACTACTGAACATAGGCCTCCCGCAAGGAACGCTCTTTGTGGCGTCCGGTGGTATGGTGCCCAACCGCCTTTCACATCGTTTACCGGTACGAGGCTGCCAATAGCTGCCATAAATATTACTTACTCAAATTATATATTTTTAAAAGAATACTCCTATGGTAGAACATTACATAAACTCCCGTTAAACACTCCGAGTAAGCTCAAAATGCCTCCGTTAGGAGTGGTTCACGACAGTACTGGAATGGAGGATACAAACGACTTTCAGAGATTGCAGTCCGTACCCTTACCCATTAGGCTACCGCTTTGCAATTAAATGTATTTAGGTATAAGTTAAGAGCCGTGGTAGCTCAGGGGTTAAACGCTCGCTGTAAATTTCACAGTATGCGAGCAACCCGGTTTCAACC